GCGTTGACTATTAAATTAGTCGTCGGCGATTTTAATAGTCGACGTAATCTGACTAGTCGACTAATGGTCAGCAAAAAAATTTTCTGGCACAACTTCACCTGCTTCCAAGGTGCATGGAGAGGATAAAATAATTCACAAAGCAGGAACTCCAGCAACACCTGATGAAGGCCACAAGCCGAAACGCGTTGGTCTATTATTAAAGTTGTTCATCTTCCCTCAAGTGTTGCTGGAGTTCCTGCTTTGTGTACTCGACTAATGGTGGTAGCCCTACTTGTATATAAACTTACCCTCTTCCCTTCCTTACACAGAGAACATTACAGCAGGACACAGGAGGCAACTGGCTTTAAAATCCATGTACCAGCAGCTCTAATGCTCACCGATTAACCAAATATGTAAAAAAGAAAACAAGCTTCATTAACAGAGCTATTCTGCGGACTTCTTTTAATCTGTTGATCTTTTCATGCTCTATTTTTATATCAACTTATCAGCAGGTATGACGCTCAAAGCAACAGAGCTGTGAATGAAATTTGACTATATTTTCATGATGTCAAAAGATGACAAGGAAATCACACTCAGAGTAAAACACAGTTTGCGCTTTGAGACGTGACGTACAAGTGATTACAAAAGAACATTAGAAAGACTGCTCTGAAGTGTTATTTAAATCCAAAGTGGGCGTTAATTCATTTGTAGCGGTTTTTCAACCCAGTAAAAGAATCATCTGATTTCATCTGAAACATGACTCACTGACAAAAAAAAAAAACAGCCTTCCTATTGACAAAAAGGAAAAAGCACTAAAGATGCAAAAAAAAAGAGAGTGATTCTACAAAGTGGCATTTGTTAAGAACGTCAAGGAGCCACCACCAGTACACCACACAGACAAAGTGACTCTGGAAATGTAAACAGCTGATCAGACTCTCAGCACAGAGAAGTAAATAGCACACTGTGCCACATCAACCCATTACATGCCAGGTGTGCTTAAACAATCAGCTCAGAGAGCTCAATATTTACACACGCAGTGCATTTATATATGTGCACATCACACACCATGCCACCTTATATGCTCTCATATACTGTGGATACACGGAGAAAATGACAAAAACAAAAACAATTCTCTACAGAGACTTTTGGGATGCATATTTTCCAAAGTTTAATTATTTTATTAACTATTAAAGTATGAGCTAGTAAACTGTAGTTGCTTATTTTTTAGCGCTGAATCTATTTTTCATGTAATTGTCTAAGCTGTTGGAAACAGATCTCTTATTTTTGTGACAATTAAGTCAGTTCAGCTGTCTTGAGTGAGTGATGATCAGTCTGGCTTGCAAATACGTGTTCACTGTCAGTTGACATTTGGCAGTCATTTATTTTAAATATTATTGGGAGTAAACAACTCTTAAATCTGCAGTTAAGATTCATGTCTGTCTGAAACAGTTTGTTATAGCTTTCTTCAAATTTCCTTAAACCCAACTCTCTTCTGATTGGCTGCCCTTCATGAATCGAAAGTTTGAACAGCGGGTGGGTGGGGCTTATGTGCTTACAGCCAAAGTTGTGTGCCTGATGTGTCCCTATCAACTTTCACTAATACTATACAGATTCGAGATCAGAAAAAGCTAGCATGCTGTTTTTGTTGGCATATTAAATTATCTCAAGATTCTTAAGATTAGGCTACTTTTACCTGGGGTGGTAAGGGCTGGGTTCCAGATAACAAATGCCCCAATAAAATATGTGTAAAGTTAGCAATTATTCTACCAGTTATGATCACAAAGTCACCTGTGATGCTAAATAACTTAAGCTAACCCTGGACTCCCCGAGAAGCATTTTATTTGAAGTGCATTTTTGAAAGAACAAGATGACTCCCAAACAGCTTAGAAGTGATGCTCAACAAGTGTCGACACATTTTATTTAAGATGATCGGAAATAATGATGACCACAAAAAATGAGTTTACGCTAGTCAGGGCTGAGGACCATCATAGAGACGTATAGAGAACTAAAACAACCACAGCCCATGGCCCGGCCAGCAATTAAAAAGGCACTTTCATATTGTTTTTACTCTTAATACCCAGAAACTACACCCATCCTTTATACTGTACATATATGAATGAACTCCAGTTATTTTCTGTTTTGTTATTACTGCTATAATACTTCAGTCAAACTGTTTTTACTTGTGTAGGATCCACTGCAGGATAGACTTGCATTACTGTATAAATAAAGTACTTTATGAAACACACAAGTGGGGAATTCAGCGCTATGTTATCTAAATTCTGTTAGAATTCAGATAACATAACTCTGCTTTTCAACTAATGTTTTTGTGGGTTGTTCCTTTTTGTTCCATTGGACATCAGACTGAGATTTGCACAGGACATATTTTGCCCGTATGTGTCCTAGAACCTACTAGCTTCACTAGATGCAGATAACAAAAGGGTGACAACATCGAGCAAGTATCTAGAAACTGCCACAGCTTTAAAACCTGTACAAATGAATCCTACTGGTGATGAGCTTTTCTTAAACGCAGCATTTTTACATTTTATACAACAAAATTATACAAACAAAAGAGTTTCTAATGACCCATGGGAGCTCTAGAGTGGGGCTAGTGCTAGGACTGCATTACAGTCAAATGTGTTCTGCGGTGATGGATTTTTCTCCCCTTGGGCCAGTGAAAATTAAGGGGGCCAGTAAAGCTCTGATCTACTGTCTAGGTGGTGAGTAGGTGGAGGAATGATATGTGGGGCACGTTTAGGGTCCTGGAGGTCAGGGACGCTAATGCAGGAGCAAGGGTGATGACCCAGTGTGCATTGTGTGAAAGCTCTGACCCAGAAAACTGCAGCTTGTAGTTATTGTGAGGATGATGATTGTGGTGGAGGTGCTGGTGTCAAATCTTCAGTCGCAATCAGTGTTGTGGTTAATGTGTTGTCATGGAAACCAGTGTGACCCCCCACCACCACCACCCACAGTACACGCACCCACAGCCCTATTTGAGCTAGGAACTAAACATTAGCATACAGTGAGACTATCAGGTTGTAACACTGCTACAGCTCACTATCCGACAGTTATTACAGCTTACCGAGGCTTTAGCTGTGTTTCAGACGGATTTTACACTTGAAGAAGAGTCACGCATGACTTTTAGCAGCGCAAACGAGGCAAAAGAACCGCTACATGAACGGCGGAAAGACCCGTTACTGTAGTTATTAGGCAGGTATGATAGAGTTGCACTCACAGAGAGGAAACAGCGAGACGGCGAGAACAAGCCAAATAAAGCCGTGTAACTGTTTAAGTGAGAGCATTTTGGAATTAAAACCCAGCTAGAAAGTGCCGTTTTCTCCCCTAACAGCCTAAATGTAAGCACCACTCTCCACGCTGAGGTTCATAAAAAAAAGAAGAAAAAGTTGCTGCTTTTAAACTACCGCCCTCAGGTAGAGTATCATTGCCTCTTAAAAAATCATTTCTAACTGACGCGGAGGCAAATGAAGACGAAAGAAAGATGGAAGCTTACCTGGCGGGGGAGTATTAATATTGTTTTGTCCCATGAAGAAAAGCGTTTAGAAAAGCCGAGCAGGCGCCCTTTCCGTCGAGCTCTCCCGGTGGCGGCGCTGGATGTGTATGTGCGGTTACACCGAGGACTCCTGGAGGAAAGCAGCCGAGCTCCGGCTGATGTCACCCGGACAGGGAGGGGCCTCACCGGGAGACATTTCCATAAGAACATGATGTCACGATGTTGCTGCTTCAAATGACTCTTCTAGAGCAGCAAGAAGCAACAATGACATCTACAGCCACATTCAGCATTCAGTGTTAAAGTCAATAAACGGCTAAGCCCAAGTGCTTTTTTAACTATTGTTAAAAAACTGATGTGACTGTTGTTGTGTCACTTTATGCTTTTATCTTCATGTCTGATTATGGCTGCAATGATACATCATGACCAGGGAATATTTTACATATCTAAGAATTGTGTGATATTCACATTGTGACTAATATACTCTTCTGTCTGTGACATTTCAGAGTATTACTGTTCAGCAACAGCACTGAATTTGATTTCTTGCTGTTCTGAATTTAAACTGTGCCCAGAAAAATGTTTGATTTATACACAGGTGTTTATTTTTTTCTGCTTAAGTGTTTGGCCAGTTTTTTACAAAGTGCTGTTGCCAAAAACATCCTAAATGAAAAACGAAAAGCTGCATCTCTAGATATGGATTCCAACCACAAAAGCTTCTAAGCCAGTTAGAGTTGAAGGATCACTATTAAATCCAAAGTTGGACTGAGGATTTTTGGGACAACTTCTCTCAGTTTGGGTCACAAACATTCCCTTTTACATCACAGACACTGTTTTTCTTTTTTCCCTAGTTTGATGTGCTTTACTACTGTGACAACAAATGCCTCAGTTTCATCTCTTGTCAGTATTGTCTTTCTCTGCAACATCCAAAACAAACAAAAACAAAACAGATTCCCGTTAACGACAGCACAATCAAATTTATGCAACAGTTTCTGATAATGTATCAATACACTTATTACAGTATTCAGATTAGTTTTGGCGTTAACACAATCAATATGGCAAAAAAAGAAGCTGTGTTAGCATAACTCTAAGGCTTTGACTTCCTGTTTACTTTCTTTCATTTCAGTGTGTGTCCAGCCACCTCTGCTCAGCCACACATAAATAAATTGTATTAAACCAGATTGTAACATGCAATCTGATAATAAATAAAGCAAACAAGGATTTGTGTATTGAAAGCAAAAGTACAGTGCCTTGCAAAAGTATTCGGCCCCCTTGAACTTTTCCACATTTTGTCACATTACAGCCACAAACATGAATCAATTTTATTGGAATTCCACGTGAAAGACCAACACAAAGTGGTGTACACGTGAGAAGTGGAACAAGAATCATACATGATTCCAAACATTTTTTACAAATAAATAACTGCAAAGTGGGGTGTGCGTGGTTATTCAGCCCCCTGAGTCAATACTTTGTAGAACCACCTTTTGCTGCAATTACAGCTGCCAGTCTTTTAGGGTCTGTCTCTACCAGCTTTGCACATCTAGAGACTGAAATCCTTGCACATTCTTCTTTGCTGTTCACAAACACTTTCCATCTAATCTGACTGAGCTGGAGCTGTTTTGCAGTTTTCAGATCTTGCCACAGATTCTCGTTTGGATTTAGATGTGGACTTTGACTGGGCCGTTCTAACACATGGATATGTTTTGTTTTAAACCATTCCATTGTTGCCCTGGCTTTATGTTTAGGGTTGTTGTCCTGCTGGAAGGTGAACCTCCGCCCCAGTCTCAAGTCTTTTGCAGACTCCAAGAGGTTTTCTTCCAAGATTGTCCTGTATTTGGCTCCATCCATCTTCCCATCAACTCTGACCAGCTTCCCTGTCCCTGCTGAAGAGAAGCGCCCCCAGAGGATGATGCTGCCACCACCATATTTGACAGTGGGGATGGTGTGTTCAGAGTGATGTGCAGTGTTAGTTTTCCACCACACATGGCGTTTTGCATTTTGCCTTTTGCCAAAAAGTTCCATTTTGGTCTCATCTGACCAGAGCACCTTCTTCCACATGTTTGCTGTGTCCCCCACATGGCTTGTGGCAAACTGCAAACGGGACTTCTTATGGTTTTCTGTTAACAATG